TACTCTTTCTGAGGGGGACTCCCGTTTCGGGGCAGTAGTAATGGTCTTCGTCCAGGAAAAACCAGTATGACAATTGCCTCGAATGGAAATATCTCATGAATAGCGCATCTTACGTTTAGTCAGTCCATTCTTTTACTATTTTCCATGACAGTTTGGTTAACCAGCTAAAAAAAGCCAATAGAAGTCGCAGCTGAATTGCCTTTGTATGACATTTTTCTTTCCACATTTGCAGCGAATCCATGTTTGATCTCGATAGAAGACATTTGGAAGACATTGATAGTGAAGATGTCTTGTAAAACTGGCTCGCTGTCCGGTTTTTATTCGAAGCGACGCTCTGAGCCATAGCATGCGAATGACATTAACGTGCAGCAGCCTTTCAAATGTTTTCTGAAGGACACGCCTTGGTACGATTGAATAGATTGAGGGACACCTGACAAGATTTCCTTGCCTTTCAGGGACCAACACCAACAACAGCTATGCAATGGAGCTACCTACAGCCTATTCCGATCAATCTTTTACCCCCAGGAACAATCCCGATACCTGTTCAGGTACTGTTTTCGACGGCTTGAGGAACGATAATTGCCTGATCTTGAGTTATTCAACGACGACGTACAGTTAATTTCGCCGTAATCAGTCGGGGCGGTGTCAAGAGACATAGAAGCCCTCTCGTTATGTAGCACTGGTTGTTTCTTCCTGAATCGATCACTATCCGATCACTATAGGGAGATATAGCTGCTGTTGACGGGCTCACTTCATCCCTCCTGACACGCCCCGACTGACTGAGATGATATTAACTACAGTGTCTAGAGACATGTGGAACAATCTGTGGACTTTCAAGTCTTTTGGGTCTTCCGAATTAGGAAGATCCGCAGTCCCATACGCTAGTGATGTATTTCGTGGTACGCCAGGAAAAGGCGGCCATTGGGAAGTTCCGGGAGGTTAACCGTTTTTCACTGAATGCAAAGGGCCTCTTTCAAAAAAATTGATCTGTCCTTACCGAAGCTTCTTCCCTCTAGGTGCCAAATCCTCGTCCTCTTATGGTTAGTTCCAAATTCCGGCCATCCGATCATCACACGTCAAAGCACATGGAAATTTCCCAGTGAGAGGCTGGGGTCGCATTTGGTCGCTGGAGGGGAGAGGGGTAGGGTCACGTCCTTAAGAAAAATGTTTTCGGTTGTTGACTTTTCTGTTTTCTGCATTTCAAATGTCTCCGGTGCGCTATATCCCCCGTTGGGTCGACGGCAGTGCATTTTTTTGCTGGAGAAAACTGGAGAGTTTTCGGGAAAAACTCGAGAAAAATATTAGGACGTTGGAAGAGTTTAGGAAAGCGAAATGTTGGGTGGAGATGGGGAAAGGGGTTCCGTGTCAAAAGAGAAAGTTTGAGGTATCCTGCAAGATTTTCTTCCAACGACAAGACGTACCCTGATCACACTTCGGCGACGTAGCACTTTGCAAGATGATACTCATGATCGGAGGCGTGGCCCCGCCCTCTCCATCCCTCACCGTTTGAGAGGGGTTTTGGATGTTCATTGTGGGGTTCCATCAAAGATGATATTTGGAGAGGGGGTAGCGTGAAAAATTCCTCCACAAGGCGATGATGTGCACCGTGTCCAACATTTGAAAAAAACCGAAGGAATGGTGTGGGGAGGTTGTCTCTAGGCTTCACTTCCTCGTCACTGAGGTGTTATGGGACTCTATGCGATCTAGTGGCGCGTCCTACTGGGCGACGGACCAGACAATCGTAGGTCGTCGCGTGCGGCCTGTCGTGCCTCGGTACGCGGCGATTTCGCGATGAGGTTCAGTTTGTTGACTGGAGCAGTGAAACCCATATGAGTTCAGGCGGAGATAGGTTCCGTAACGGGTGATATGGAATCCTCTTGGAATCTCTGGAATTCCTTCAACAAATGGCCAGTAGGACAACTGGTCCGTCGGGCGCGGAGTCGCTCGCCGCGCCCACAAGAGGCATATTGCGGTTGACCTTTCGCATACCCCGTTTTAACACTTACGTACTGCGGACATACACTGGACTACACTATACTCTTTGAGAGCCTCTCGTTTGCGTCTTCTAATATTGTACATTTGGATTTTTCCAGGATCTCAGCAAGTCGCTTGCGGAAGGCACACCAATCTGCCCGGTGACGATAGCAGAACAGTTTGCACAGATGTCTGTCGCGAACGCAACGTGGGGTGCGGTGGCCCCCGCAACTGGTAAATTATTTCTTCAGTGTGTATATTCAGTTATTCATTCGCTGTAGTGAGTGGTGTTCAGCCTTGTTCTGGTTTCTCGCTACCCATTTCCATTCCACTCGCTCTAAAGCTTGATTAGATTGCATGAACAATTTCAGTTCCAATGGCTATCCCTATTGCAAATCCTGCCGCTTTTCAAAGCGCTCCCGTTGATCCAAGCCAAGAGCCACATGAAGCAAATGCGCCCGCTGTTCCTCCCATGGCTGCTCAAGAAGGTGCTTGATTTGCTTCGTTTTACATCAGCGTATTAATGAGTATGGACAAGACAATCGTATTATCCCGGTCTGTTGTGTGGGCTAGCGACGCTGCGCCTGACGGACGAGTTGTTCTACTTGACCGTTTGTATTTGAGCTCTGAAGCAGTGGTGAAACTCGAAATCGGAGGACCCTTGGTGTCACGTAGTCTCGCCTCCGATTGAATTCGAAAGGGTTTCGCTTTCCAATCGACAGACTGATGCTCATGAAACATTTGCCGCCTATTGGCGCACGATATGCCGCGCGTGACAACGCGAGAAATTACGATTGTCTTGTCCGTCCGCCCACATTAAGTACAAACCAATGCTTATTTCCTAACGACGTTTTGCAGCTGGCTGTCAAATTTATTTCTATAACAAATTCTAGGTTACGAGAGTAGCGCTAGCTCTAGCGGAGTAGTTTCACGTCGTAGTGCTGTCACCGACAGGTGCTATACTGCTCGTGAACGCTCGTCAAGTTCAGCGACAGACTACGATGAACAGATCGCTGAAAGGAAACGGTAGGTCAAAATATGCAGGTGCTATTCCACTCTCGTGGTGGGAGAAGGGGTATTTCACAAGTTCGTAGGCATGACTGTTAGCGTTTTTAATCCGCGTTCATACTTTGCGGCAGCGTCCACTAGCTTTCGAGCGTCCGGCCAGCAACTGGGAATGTATAGATATCGATCTAGCGTCTATTAGCGTGTGCCAGCGTGTAGCAGCGTCCGAGAGAGGAGAGTATGGCGCAGTAGAAGGGTAGCAGACAGTTGGTATCCTCCTGTCTGGGAGACGCTGGTGCACGCTGGTAGGCAGTGGCAGACGCTAGATTGATATCTGTACATTCCCAGTCGCTGCCGGACGCTCGAAACGCTAGTGGACACTGCCGGAAAGTATGAACGCAGATCATCAGGCAGTTTTGTAAAGTTTACTGAAAAGCTCACGCGAGATCATAGTACCTCGACGGGCAGGTCGTAAATCGGGAATATCCAGCGATGAGGAGTATTTGGTCGCTGGGGAAGGGAGTCGACATTGCCCGAAGAAATCTTGAAGGAAAATGTTTTCAGTTGTTGATTTTTGTTGACTTTTCCCGGATTTCTTATCGAAAACTTCGAAAACTTTTGTTTAGGAAAGGTAGGAAAATCAGGAAATCTGGGAAGATGCCAGGTAGTATGGGGAGTGGAAGGGAGGCCGTACGAAAGGAGGAAATACCGGGGGGGGTTGTAAATTATAAAAAAATTTCCTTAGTGACAGGACGTGCCCTGGTACCTGGACATATCCAACACGGGCCAGGATTGGAGGAAGGGGGGAGGGGGAGGACGTGGAAAAATATAACCTCAAAGTTTTATTGTCGTGCGCTACAAGCTGTTCAGCATATAAAATCGAGGGAATGGCTTGCGAATGAAAGTCGTGCGGTTTCGCTTTTTTTACGGGCTTTTATAGGGGCTCACAAAATTTTCCGAAAATAAACAGTGTTGGCGGGGGGATAGACGGCCCTCCCTCCTACCGTGAGCGGTCTCGCGCGGATTTCCATGAAGGGCCCAGAGTGAACATATCCTATTCAGAATGGAAGCAGAAGATGCTGAAAGAGAGCGATACGATGAAGAAAGGGTCAGACGTGAAAAAGAGACGAAAGCCCGAAGAGAGGCAGACGAAGAGCGGAAGCACAAGGAGGAGGAGCGGTTGAAAGAGCAAGTCAGCCTCAGCTCATTTCTTTTTTATTTTTATTCTAGTTAGTATAGTTATGAAAATTCTGCTGAGGAAAGGAACTAAAGTTCTTGTTTCGCAGGATAAGGAGCGCATCAGAAAAACACTAGAAGAGGCTTTGGAGCGCGCAAAGCGCGAAGCGGAGATCACTAGAAAGGCTCGCGTTTTCAAGCACGTACTTGAAGGAGCCGATAAGAGTCCGGAGTTGGAAAGACGTCTACTCGGCGTCGATCCGGAGACTGGAGATAGGATTTTGCACGAGGTATTTTCATACATTTTATTAAAGTTGGTCTTCAAATGATACTCTCTCCATAGAGGTGACAAATTACGGTTCAGAAGAGGCAGGTCTTTCGTTCTGGTGGTTTAGCTGAATATTTGACCCTCCAACTCTATTGCCTTCTTTCTTTTTTTATAACTTTCTATGCATTTTTGTGCGCCTTTGATTACATATGAACATGTACATCTTCCGCATCTGTCAATATCTGTATTTTTGTTAAATCTCCTCAAAAGTGCTAGATTACAGTATCTCTGTTACCTAAAGGCAAGTGGCACGAAAATCCTCAAGAGGTGTAGCATTAGTACGCCTACGGGCATAATTCTGCGCCCCTGAGCAGGCGCTGCATGGCGCCTTTTCCCATGGAAGGTACCCTTCTAGCGCTCTTTCAAGCTGCAACATCCCGCCCCGGACGCCCAACGCGTCCGCCCGCTCACAAATGTCTGACTGATGCTGATGCTCGTATCGCTTCAAGCAAAGCGCAATATAAAGGAAGGGATTGATATGAAGCGACTGCGATGCTGCATGGATATATTAGTACATACATGCAGCCGTACCTACCGTGGCGATGATTGGCACGATGCCATCGGGAAACTCGTCCGAATTTGTTTTCTGAGTCGCGTAGAACGAAGGGTTTTTTGCAGGTTTTTGACCTATTCAATTCGCTTTTTTTCGCCATTTTCCCCCACTGTTTAGCACCCCTACCACCGCTTCAGACCGATTACCGAATTATAGTGTCATATTCCTTTAAGGGAAATAAGGAGTTTTTACTTGAACCATCCCCGGAAGCGCCAGTGGCTAAGTCCACCAAAAAAGCCGGGATCGATGTCGATTCTAGCTAATCCAGGAAAAAAATGATTTGCGCATGTGGTGAGAATTTCATGGAGTTTGCCGCTGCGATTTCTTCAAAAAGCGATATGCCTGCCAGCTGCCCCATTCTAACTAACTGTGATGGGAGGGGAAAGAACCTCACCAGATGTCTTCACGCCCCAACGAAGTTTGCCTGCTCCATAAGAACGCAGGCCCTTCGTTTTGAAAGCGGCCTAGCTGAAAACTAAAAAGCCTAGTTGGTGAAGTCAACCTCAGTCAGGCCTGACTTAGCTCCTTCTGAATGCTATCTCACCTAGTCCACCAGCACTCACCATATCCCAGGTAAGAAATGATTTTCAAAGCTCCTGAACAATGAGCCAGCTGTCTTTCTCAGTTCGAAGCCGAAAAGGTTCTAAAAACAGGGTATCCACACTTTGCTTATTGAGTGATAGTGTTTTTTGCTGAAATAAAAATTTTCTCGTGAGAAGTCTGGAAACTTCACGAACTTTTGGAACTCCCCATTATTTTGTTTTGAGTGTGCTCGTTCTTCTTGGTTCTTATCCCTTGTGATTGTGATCTAATCTCTTTCTCTAGATCGCCCCTTCCGCTCCTCACAATAGCAGTTACTCCCAACTATTTGTTTGTGCATTGCATGTACATCCTTTTCTTGTTTTAAAAGCCGTGAACTTCTCTCCCAGTTTCGTTCCTTTGCTAAATTTTGATAATCTCTTTCTTGTGGTCATGGTTTAGTGGAATGTGACTCACCAGACGCGCGGGGTGAAATCTAGATCGACTCCTGTCCAGACCAACCATCCCTTTCCCCTCTGGGACAGTAAATTGGTGGCAGATTCGTCTGGGAGGATAAGAACACTGATTTGTATATCGGAAGGCCCCGCAAGTCATTGTCTAGGCACATCGCATTGAATAAGCCACTGCGATTCTGAATGGAGATTTCAGGATAGAGCTGACCTTCTTTGGTTTTCTTTTTTTCCATCCTTTCTTTTCCTCCCCAACTGAAGATCGATCTCTAGCTCTTCATCTTTCGTTTTCTGTTTTTTGCTTTTATTATTGCTGTAACTGTCAAAGTTCTGGTTTGCCAGATGTGATGTTTTATGGGTCATCATTTCTTTGCTTTGTTCGCAATTCGTGTCTATTTGTTGTCTTACCATTTACTTTTACCTGTTTATGACCACTTTTCTATTAGCATTCTCATTTTTCCATTCTCTGTTTACCTATTCTCCTTCTCTATTATCCCGTGATTGTGGCTACACTCATCAGCCACTTCTGTCGTAAACCATTTACTTTTTTCATTTACACACTTGCCGTTAAGAGTGAAGATGAGCTAATGAGCATTAAGATGCCATTAAGAAGGACATAATATAGCACTAAAGTACATTGAGTGAGGAAGGAGTGTAAAGCTTTCAAGTAGGGCATAAAATAACCACGCCAGAAGTGTAAATGTTACATCAAAGCACTGATAGTATTTTATCAACGAAATCAATATGTGTATTTTTCTGGTGGCAGTTGAAAGCAAAGTAAATAGCGGAGGAGGAGGGGTTGGAAATTGGGCGTGGTAGCTGTCGCTGATGAAATAAATCTATCTCAGCATCAGTGATCTTGTGGTTCTTCAAGGGTTGAAAAACCAAAATAAAAAGCGTTGACGAATCGCTTCTTAGAGCTCGTCCATACTTCGCGATCCTATCGGCGATCGCGCGACAATCAACGGGGCGCTCCACGATAATCGATAGAACGCCGCAACGGCACAATTGAATTGAGCCGTCTTTATGAGGAGACGGGCAAGAGAATCGTAATTTGGCCGCTCCGCCGCGCGCGGGATGGGCGCGGCGTTTTCTTAACTCGTGTCAACTTGTCGAGTTGAGCACCAGGCTTCCGTCTAAGGGCACGTGCGAAACGGAAGCTGAGCTATCTCTTTGCTTTCGACCCCCCTCAATAATTCTCATTTATTAGATTTTACAACATAGTTCATTAATCTCAGTTTCAAAGATTTTATTCATGCAGACCCCGTCATCGTAGAATTCGTGACTATTTTCGCTTCTGAATTGCCTGTTGTCGCCATCTGCTACATGGAACCATGGTCATTTGTGGGCGCGACGTCGCACGTCCACCAGCGCGGCGAATTACGATTCTCTTTTCACATACACGTTTTCGTGCATTGCTGCATTTGAATTCTGCCGTTGCGGCGATCCTCCGAGTAGCGGCGCATCGCCGCGGTATTAATCGCGCGGTCGCATCGCAAAGTATGAACGGCTATAGCAGCACCCTAGAAAGGCCTCTCAGGGTTCCAAGATTCATAGAGGGTCGAACGTGGACGCTTATAAACGGGTTCTTATCTAAAAGAAACCTCATTCCCTTAAAGAGTTGGAGTTTCAAGTGAAGACGGTTTTTAGCAATTACTTGATGGGTACAAATTCGCAGCCACATGTATGCCACCTAACCACTAGAATGTGCTTAATGAGGACGCCAAAGACTTGTGGTTTAACCCTTGACGCAGTTTGCTGAGTCTGGCTCTGCCCACGGTACAGGCAGCGTTCAGACTTCGCGACGGTAGCGCTTCGGTCGCGCGTTCGGTGCGATCGATGCGCATGCTTTCGACTGCATCGATCGCGTCGAACGCGCGACCGAAGCGCTGCCGTCGCGAAGTCTGAACGCTATCATACGGATAAGCGCACTAGTATAGTCTCTGCGTCTCCGTTTACTGCTTGCTGCTCCAATCAGTTGATCCTTATAAGGGATCGTTATTGGGATCTGCTTTTTTTCTTCACGAGAAGTTTGTATAACCACCTAAAATTCCTACTTCAACCCCACCCCCAGCGTGCTGCACTCGCTGACAAGTCTTTAGAAATTTTTGGACGTAAATCCCGGATATGGTGGTTTAGAATTTCTAGGCGTTCTGGATCTTAGGAGTGAACCATATGTATAGGGGTTGCAACATTGCAATAACTTCCACATAGTTTTCCGCGTTAGGGTGTGAGGCAATATCGAGAAAATGAGCAGTCTTGACTGGCTTCCGGTACCTTTGATATCCTGGAGTTCATTACCATTAATTTCAGATTTCTCAGATGGAGCGACATAAGAAACTCGAAAGGGAGTCATTAGGCAGAAACCCGTCGAGGGACAGGGAGCAGCAAGACAAGTCCTTGTCAGAGAGGCGATCTAGGGTACGATTCCTCAGATCGTAATGACTATCGTATTCGCTTTTATACTCAATGTGTTTCCAGAGTGCTCAACCAAAATCCAGAAGTTCATCCATGTCGGGCTCATTTGCTAACCCGGAAAATCGTGACAATAAAGCGTTGAGCCCATCTGGCAGGAAACAAACTGCCGCCATTCGCCCCTTCAATTCGGCTGATGATCGGGTCGTCAGAGCTGCATACGAACACCCAACAGGTTACGTTTTATCCTCTCACTTACGAAAGTTTGACTGGTGATGGCTTACTGGAAATCGTGATCGGTTTCCAAATGTTTCCCGTTCCCTACTTGACGGTGCATCTTCAGAAAAACGTCATCCGCCAGCTATTCCAAGTGCGAGCACCCCACTTAGGCGTTCAGTTCCTGGACGGATGTCAGTCAGAGTGACAAGGAAAGAGAAGGAGAACACAGCCACGGACGAAGATTGCAATAGGAATACTGCGAGGACAATGAAGTAAGGGATATTGTTGGGCTTATTTGTTTATTTCCTTTTTGGAAAATGAATATATTGAAGAAAGATGGGCGTGTTTTAATGGAAAGTCTGCCCTAGTTTTCACAAAAATTCTTTCTTCTGAGCTCCTTGGTTTGTATTGGTGAAAAGACTAAATTGCCGCAAAAAAGGCCCACTGCTTCAAGCTTCAAAATGGCCCACACCCGATAAGGCGCTGTTCGTTTGTAGAGCATTTTGAGGGGGCATTTTGCACTTGTTGTTGTTCCTTTTGTTAGTTCATGTTGAATAAAAGGTTCCACTTTGGTGAGACCTGCAAACTTCTGTGAAGCTGAAATGGCGCAGGTGAAGCTTTGGTCACAGGAATTTACAGGTCTTCACAAGGTGGCCTGTATAAGCTGAAGTCTGTGCCCCCACAAAGCCGAACACCCTTCCCCCCTATGACTCATTCTTTGCGGTGAAAGTGCCCATGTTTTCGCGCTCCTCACTTTTGAATTCCCCATTCGGAAAGTAATCAAAATCGTCCCGCTTTTGTTTTTCTCCACTCAGCTTCTGTGCAGTTACAGCTCTGAACGTCCTCTGGCTTGCTCTTGGTTTAATTTCCTACGAGCTGGATTTCAGCTGTGATGTAAGGGAGGCTAATGGTGAGCTGAAAACAGGGGGCGTGGGCAATGTGACTCACGGTGGCGTAGATTTATTGACTTCAGTTCTCGTTATTTCATTCGCTTCAGTCGAGCTCCTCTTGAATCCCTCATTCCCCTGAAATATAATGTTCGAAAGTTTGGGTTGTTATGTGAGGTTGTTGGGGAGGGGCAACTATTCAAGTCGTTTAGGTTATTAAATATGTAAGGCTGTTGATGGGGGGGGAGGGGTGGCAATTATTCATCAACTTGTTGACTGAATCGTCTTCTTTAAAAACATCTGCGATCATACAAAGAGTGTTTACTAGTTGTAAAATGGCTACAGCAAAGTATGCTCTACGGAAACCGGAAAAATTCGACGCTATAATCCCACGTGCTCCGCTAGCTGATGAGGACCGCTTTAGTTTATGGGCTTTGCAGCGCCTAGAAAAGGCCGATGCCATCGTTTCTCCGCGTGGGGTTGAACGAGCGGTGAAATTAGGCAATCTTGAACCAGACCGAATGAACTGAATCTTGTTCGGGAAGCGGTGTCAACCCCTTGTGCTAAGTACAACACCCTCAGGAATCTGTTAGAGTAGCAGTTCTGACAGCAGAATTATCCTTCCAGGGAACCACAAGCCGAGAATGTGACCGCTTCAGAAGTAAATAACTGTGACATCAGGCTAGGGTGGTGCTAATAACTTTGCAGGGGGTACAGCTATAAGCACTTGTTCAGCAGGCCAGATCTTTCAACTGTTCACTTGTGAATACAGGACACCTGGAAACGGCTGATGCCGTTTGGACGCGCTCAGTTTTGGCTGCTGGCTAATTCATGAAGTGCCTAGATCACCAAATCCGCAGAAAACTTGTATACAGGGGTTATTTAACATCCTGATTACGAATATGACATTCACTCTTGGCGCTGGCGCTAATGGAGACACTACGATTATCTTCTGGGCTCAGCCTTAGCAGAGCGCAGATAATCGTAGTGTCGTCCATTAGCGACAGCACGAATGATTATCATATTCGTAACGAGGATGTTAAATAAACCCTGAGTACAAGCTCTGCGGATTTGCTGATCTAGGCACTTCATAAATGAGCCAGCAGCCAAAACTGAGCGCGTTCAAACGGCATCAGTTGTGGAAACTCGTTATCACCTGTCAGGCACCCTGTGAACTCCTGTCAAACTTGTCAAAACGACTGGTCAAAGGTTTGGAAAGAAGGAGCAATGGGGTTCCGTAACGCTAGCACCACTTCACCAAGCTTGACATGAATTTACAGGGAACTTGACAGGAATTACAGGACTTGCAGGGTGAGACACGATTAGGCGGTGTTCACATGTGTGCAGTTAGGACTTAAGCTGGTATGCTGGCATGACGGCCTCCCCCCCCCCCAAGGTTGCAAGCGCCGGCTGGGGTTCGGGAATGCACCGTATCGTGGAATGCATCGGCAATCCTTTTATTTGGAATTGTGTTAAGACTTTTGAATGAATCATGTCAATAGTGAACCTGTCCCACGATTTATCGCGGAACAAAAACGATTTTCGCGGTTTAAAAAATTGATGGCCCTCATAAAGGAGGCTAGAACTGTCATCCATAGCTCTTCGTTGCAGTTGGAAGCCTGCATGTTTATTTCGCAATTCTCGCCAACGCGCTCAGAATGCGCTTGACACCAGCGATATTCACACACGTCCTCTTTATTTGAATTGAGTAAGGTTTCCCTATTGATTGACTGTTCTTGGAGGAATGAGGAAGCGTAGACTAATCCCTTCCGATTAATTGTGCAAGGGGGGGGGGAAGATTAGATCTAGCGAGGAACTCTGGTTATGTGAATGATGAACGGGCGAATTTAGCCAAATTGGGCGAATGTATCGCCTTTTTAGCGCGGCTGTGTTCCTGCAACCGTGGAACAGGAGTAGACTTCGTTTATAAGAGTGACCTCACTTCTGCTCCGGCTCTTTCACCCTCGTCTTTCTTTGGGAGAGGTTCTTTTAATTGGCGATTTTGTTCTGCCAGGAGAGGCTTTGTGCTCAAGCTCAGGGAACATGGTCGATTTCCGCGTCCGTTGTTCTTCCCTCCACTGGTTGTAGGTTACCTTTTGTCCTCCTTTTTCGCGAAGAAGGTGCTGCAGATGGCTAAGTCGTGGGCTGTGACTAGGTCAAGGATCCGTTCTCCTTCAGCGTTCTTTGTCCCCATTCCTTGACCTCCGTGCACCCTTTCTAGACCACTTCTGTCTCTCCCAACATGGCCATTCAGATCCCCAGCTATGGTGAGGTAGTCATCTTCCGGAACCGATCTTATGGCCTCGTCCAGGGTCAGGTAGAACTCATCCTTTTCCGCCTCGGAGCAACCGGATTGTGGTGCGTACATGTCAGTACGGGTCCCAGACCCTCTTCGTGTCCATTCTCACTCCCATGATCCGACCACTGATCCTGTTCACAGTGGAGACGCAGTCCTCGAGGGATTCTGCCATGGCCACGCCATTCCGTTTGGTGTCT